AAGCAGTTTTACAGACATGAGATGCCAATCCCCAAACTTGATGTTGTAAGTAATGACAACTGTGAAAGGTACAGTCCCATATTAAAAATGTACATTGGTAGTACATATAACTAGGGAAGATTCATAGTTACATTATGCTGAGATTTTGACTACATTATGTATTCAAACTTGAAATTTGACTGTTCAGCAGGTGAGAAGAGAAAGAGGGATACTAATGGCTCTGGTTTGAACTTACAGTATATTCCATTCCATGTGTCTCCCTCTTATATCCCAGGTTCCACTGCATCAGAGAAAGACACAAATGGGCAATAGTAGTTGCAGAGGGGTCTTGGAGGAGTCCAGATAAAGCTACAGTATAATGGCACCTGCACAATTATAAATTCTCCTTGATTGAAAGAGTCAAGGATTGAAGCAATCTGTGAACATCAGGGTCTCTTTAGTAAAACTTAAGCCTACAGCAAGAAAAGAAGATGATAGAAGGATCTTGCATAGAAAGGTAGAGTATTTGCGAAATAACACATGAACAATAAAACAATTCAAATGCAAAGAAAAGTACACCTGCAAACATAAAAGTCAACATATGTTAGATAATATCAGTAGTAAACAAAATCTGAAAGGTAGGCACTAAACACAACAAAAAAAATTTTTATATATATACAAATATAATGTGAACAAAGAAATGTCTAGATATTATATTAAACATTTGTTTTTTATACACATTATACATACATATATATATATATATATATATATATATATATATATATATAATATTTATTTTTATGGTTGTAATCATTGAGAGTTTTTTGTGTTGAGCACCTACTTTTTAGATTTTAGGTATTACAAGTGTTGTTTGGAGGGCGCTCCGGGATGAAAGCTCGTGAATGAGACCTCTGTCCCGCCATCAGACTAACCGCGGCTCACACTAGACACAGGGATACCGCAGCCTCTCCCCAGAGACATAAGGGGTAACAGAGGCTCCTGCCACCCTCCGGATCATGCCCCGATGCCGCAGATCACCAGGGCAGCCAGGGAGCTGACGAGCTTCTTTGCTCTCAGCCCCTGCATCCAAAATGGTGCTGGCTCCTCTGCTGACAGTCTCCTCACACAGGCAGAGGGAGACACAGCGCAGACCACAGACCCCAGGTTCAAGGCATCACTATACCCAGGAGACCCGGGTGAGTCCTCTCCACCCCTGTCTCCTTCTACAAGTAGTCCTGCTAAGTCCAGACCCAGACTGGACATACTATCTGTTTTTGACCTGCAGCCTTCCTATTCTCCTACAATTACTGCCAATTCTACTCCATCTTTAATTGAAAACTTTCCTGCTTCTGACCATCCTATCACTGAAATTTCAAGGAAAAGTATACTAATATCCCTGCGACAAACACTACATGACGACCTGACAGCAACTATATTGCAAATCTCATCCGCGGTACAAAATCAGGACCGACGCATCCGCCATATTGAGAACAAAATGGGGGAAATGTTCACGGCACACAATGACCTAATAGACGCCCACACAGAACATGGAGCTGACATAGAACAAATTAACCTAAAATTGGCAGACCTAGAAGACCGCTCCAGGAGCAACAATATTAAATTCCGCGGAATACCGGAATCTATCACTACAGGTGACATAGTCCCTTACATCCAGCAATACATGAGGCACCTCAACCCTTCTCTAACAGACGTGGAACTTGCCATAGATCATGCACACAGGATACCAAAACCATCCTTTCTACCGGCCGCAATACCTAGAGATATTCTAACGTGTGTGCACTTCTGCCACGTGAAAGAAAAAATCATGACGGCTGCTAGAAACCCTGCCTCAATTCCGACTTCTCAGGCGAATATAAAAATCCAAAGCTACATTTCTCAACCGCAAGAAACTTATTACCATAACTAAAGCGCTGCGGAACCATGGAATCGGCTACCAATGGGGTTTCCCCATGAAGCTCATCGTTAAGCATCAAGGAAGGCTCTACACGGTCAAAAACCTGGAAGCAGGCATCGAACTCCTGAAGACATGGAACATCCTACCCGTGGACTCCCACCAATCCACTTCAACCCGACCACAACAAATGGGTGCAGAATATTCCTGAACCAAAAATCCCTAACACCATTTACTACCCAACACACTGGGTATCACCTCAAAACCACTAAAGGCTGACAGACGGCCCCTAACCGAACATTTCTAAACTACAAGTGTTGTTTGCACTGTTAAAGGAGCCGTTTTTATATTTATTTATTTAAAAAAAAAATCATAATTTTCATTGTTTCTACAATACACACAGGGAAGGCACCTTTTTTGGGTTTATCAAAATCAGTAGTAACATTCCATGCCATCTTATTACCCTTGTGTGCCTCCCTTCACAATCTAGACACCACCACCCATACCAAAAGTGTATATGAAGAAAAGAATATGCTTAGAGTGAAGGGTATGCAGCCCCATCTAGGGTTCAGTGTATATTTCATCTCATGTTTAAAATTCTACCTGGGGATAAATATGGAGGTTACACTTGAAAACAAGAAACTTTGTAAGCTGCAATAGCCTTGTTGAATTCAGTAAAGTTAAGCAGTAAGCTATCTATAAAACAAGATAACCATTTCTTCTGACAAGTAAGATGCAGGCTGTGCTTTGCATCACTTGGTGCCATGGTGCTGGTGCCATTCTCTGCATTTTCTGCCCTGACATCTGCAATCTCTAAAGAGGTGTGTGGTGGAAGTGTGTGGTCCCAGTGTTGGGGTGGCCAGAGAGTCTGCAGTGATGTACAACCTGTCATGTTTATGAAAAGGTCAATTACAAGGAAAAAAAAAACAGGTCAGACATGTTGTCAGGGTTCGCCGCGGCGCGTAGGTCTGCGCATGCGCAGATTGCCAAGACACACTAACACGCGGGTGCTAGGACCTGGGCGCCCACGGCTGCAGTTGCGGCCGCGCATGCGCACTCACGCACACGGGCGCGTGCTTGTCACCAATGACAGCGCAGGGTGCTCTATTTAAAACCGGTTCTTGCAATGCTCAAGTGCCGTATGGTCTTACTCCTGTTATCCTGTTGTATCCTGAGAGATTGCATGTTGCCGACCTGCCTGACCCTGATACGTTGACCGTCTCCTGCTCTGATTCCTGGCTTGTCTGACCATTCTTCTGTTTGCTCCTGAACATATTTACCTCCTGTTACTGAACCTGGCCTGTGACCCGTGTATCCCTCTGCCTGCCGCTCTGTACCGTTCTGCCTCCACCGTTACCATCCCTGCCTGTCTGACTATGCTTAATTCACCTCTTCACATCAGGCTCTCACCTGCTACGTGCCACTGGCAAGTACCTCTACCACAGCTGGTTGTACCCAGGGGCCACGACCTGGTTTCGACCTGCTCCAAGTCCAACCCCACCATTAGGGGCTCTGTCAGGAATGGACTTGCCAATAATGGTGGGACTCACCTGCCTTGTGGGCTGCAGTACCAGGGCTGGCCAGCGGGTGCTCTCAGCAATCAGAGACTCAACCCTGCAGTCAGCCAAAACACTTGAGGCTGATTGCAGGTGTATTTAAGGGATGGCCATACCTGCAGTCTGTGCCTTGGTGTGTGTTTTTCCATGGGCCCCTGGATCTTGTTACCTGCATTCCTGTTGTTCCTGTCTGACTGATTTGTTGCCGACCCTGCCTGATCCGGACCTCTGCTGACTTCTCCTGTTTGATCCCTGGCTTGTGACCCCGACCATTCTCTGCCTGACCCCCTGTACCTACCTGCCCGTTAGTTGCGGTACCCGGCTCATGACCTGACTACTCTCTGCCTGCTCCTCCTGTTCCCTTCCTGCCCGATTGTTATTGACGCGGGCCTGCCTGACTACGCTTGCATTGTATATATTGTTATCTGTGGGTGGTTTGGTTGGGTTCGTTTGCACTGTGTTATGTTTTAGTATTGCACTGCGTTTATGTATTGTTAGTATTAATAAATTATATTGTTTATAACATATCTGAAGCCTGCGTTTCCCTGTGTCAGTTCACATACCTCTGGTCATACCCGGAGCCCTGACATTACACCAAGGCCAATCCTGACCAGAAGTGGCTGCACAGGGAAGCCATCTTGGCTTGTTGCTGGGAAGGATGGATCTTGATGAGGTTGTGTATTTGTCGCTGCTGGTTTTTGATGACAGAGAATATGCTTATCAGACTCTGAGGGAGTATACCTGGGATCAACTGCTAGAATGTATATGGATTGCTCATGTTCTAGTAGATCAGGGCACAGAGTTCTCTGAGGTGCAACCTTTGATTCAGGTTTGTGTAGAGTTGGCTTCATCTGGTACCCCTGAAAGCAGGAATGACTTTTTGCCACCATTTAGTGCAGACCAGGTAGAGTCCCTGGTATGGTTATTAGAGGATGATGTGGATTGCTTCTTGGAGCATTATGCTGCATGTTCACCACAGGTATTAAGGGATTGTATAAACGCAGTGCAGTCTTTGACCAGACAGGCTTTGTGTAAGCTGAGCTTTGTTCAACCCATACTGCAGACATGGTCAGACTTGTTGCACCCAGCCTCAGTCAGCTTGCAACGTCATTCCTCTGCTCAAGGCACTCTTCCTGCATCCCCGAGAGCACCCCCAGTGATGGCCCAGTATACTCTAACTACCACATACCAGTCCCCTGCTCCCACTCGCTGCACCTATCCTTTCTTTGGCCCTGTGGAGAGGTCCTCTGTGGCGGCTGCTCCCTCCTCTGTTCCATCTTCCAGCTCTTCTCTGTCCTCAGCTGCTCCATTCGTTTGCAGACCTGCGTTTACTTGCAGTGCTCCAGTAGTTTAAAACCAGAAAAAAGCGAAAATTCTTTCCAACCAGTACCATCCTGCCAGTATCCAAACCGGTGAGCCTGCCGTCTGACAACCTGCCTTCCGAGGTTCAGCGCCCTGGTGCCTCGGCACCCGAACTTCAGCCTGATGTCCCTACCCAGCCTGATGTCTGTACCCAGCCTGATGAACTGATCCAGCCTGATGATCCTATCACGCCTGATGACCCAGTGCCCGCTGTCATGCCTGGTGACCCGATGCCCGCTGTCGAGCCAGATGATCCAGCGCCAGATGACCCGGTGCCTGCTGTCGAGCCAGACGATCCGGTACCTGATGACCCTGGTGCCCGCTGTCGAGCCAATTGACTCAGAGCCCACTGTCGTGCCTGGTGACTCGGTGCCCCCTGCCTTGCCAGATGACGCGGTGCCCGCTGTCGAGCCAAATGACCTGATGCTTGGTGACCCGATGCCCGCTGTTGAGCCAGACGATCCAATGCCTGATGACCCAGTGCCCCGCTGTCATGCCTGGTGACCCGATGCCCGCTGTCGAGCCAGACGATCCAACGCCAGATGACCCGGTGCCCGCTGTTGATCCAGACGATCCGGTACCTGATGACCCGGTGCCCGCTGCCATGCCTGGTGATCCGATGCCCGTTGTCGAGCCAGACGATCCAATGCCTGATGACCCGGTGTCCGCTGTCGATCCAGACGATCCGGTACATGATGACCCAGTGCCTGCTGTCATGCCTGGTGACCCGATGCCCGCTGTCGAGCCAGACGATCCGGTACCTGATGACCCGGTGCCCGCTGTCGTGCCAATTGACTCAGAGCCCACTGTCGTGCCTGGTGACTCAGTGCCCACTGCCTTGCCAGATGACGCGGTGCCCGCTGGCGAGCCAAATAACCTGATGCCTGGTGACCCAGTGCCCGCTGTCATACCTGGTGACCCGATGCCCGCTGTCGAGCCAGACAATCCAATGCCTGATGACCCAGTGCCCACTGTCATGCCTGGTGACCCGATGCCCGCTGTCGAGCCAGACGATCCAATGCCTGATGACCCAGTGCCCGCTGTCATGCCTGGTGACCCGATGCCCGCTGTCGAGCCAGACGATCCAGCGCCAGATGACCCGGTGCCTGCTGTCGAGCCAGACGATCCGGTACCTGATGACCCTGGTGCCCGCTGTCGAGCCAATTGACTCAGAGCCCACTGTCGTGCCTGGTGACTCGGTGCCCACTGCCTTGCCAGATGACGCGGTGCCCACTGTCGAGCCAAATGACCTGATGCCTGGTGACCCGATGCCCGCTGTTGAGCCAGACGACCCGGTGCCTGCCGCTCCGCCTGGGGGCCAGCCACCCCTCCTGGGGGTCTTGCGCCCGCCGCCCCTCCTGGGGGTCTTGCGCCCGCCGCTCCGCCTGGGGGCCCGGTGCCCGCCGCTCCACCTGGGGGCATGGCGCCCGCCGCTCCGCCCGGGGCCCGATGCCTGCCGCTCCGCCCGGGGGCCCGGTGCCTGCCGCCCCTCCTGGGGGCCCGGTGCCCGCAGCTCCGCCTGAGGGCCTGCCGCTCCGCCTGGGGGCCCGGCGCCTGCCGCCCCTCCTGGGGGCCCTGTGCCTGTCGCTCCTCCTGGGGGCCCGGTGCCTGTCGCCCCGCCTGGGGGCCCAGTGCCTGTCGCTCCACCTGGGGGCCCGGTGCCTGCCGCCCTGCCTGGGGGCCCGGAGCCTGCCGCTCCTCCTGGGGGCCCTGTGCCGCTGCCCAGAGTCCAGCCCGATGTGCCGCTGCCCGGAGTCCAGCCCAATGTGCCTCTGCCCGGAGTCCAGCCCGATGTGCCTCTGCCCGGAGTCCAGCCCGATGTGCCTCTGCCCGGAGTCTAGCCTGATGTGCCAGTCTTTGATATCCCGCCAGTTACCAGACCCGGGCGGTGGAACATTTTGCCCAGCTAGGACTGTTTGGAGCGTCCTGAGGCCGCTCCTTGAGGGGGGGTACTGTCAGGAATGGACTTGCCAATAATGGTGGGACTCACCTGCCTTGTGGACTGCAGTACCAGGGCTGGCCAGCGGGTGCTCTCAGCAATCAGAGACTCAACCCTGCACTCAGCCAAAACACCTGAGGCTGATTGCAGGTGTATTTAAGGGATGGCCAGATCTGCAGTCTGTGCCTTGGTGTGTGTTTTTCCATGGGCCCCTGTATCTTGTTACCTGCATTCCTGTTCCTGTTCCTGTCTGACTGATTTGTTGCCGACCCTGCCTGATCCGGACCTCTGCTGACTTCTCCTGTTTGATCCCTGGCTTGTGACCCCGACCATTCTCTGCCTGACCCCCTGTAGCTACCTGCCCGTTAGTTGGCGGTACCCGGCTCGTGACCTGACTACTCTCTGCCTGCTCCTCCTGTTCCTTCTTGCCCGATTGTTATTGACCCGGCCTGCCTGACTACGCTTGCATTGTATGTATTGTTATCTGTGGGTGGTTTGGTTGGGTTAGTTTGCACTGTGTTATGTTTTAGTATTGCACTGCATTTATGTATTGTTAGTATTAATAAATTATATTGTTTATAACATATCTGAAGCCTGCGTTTCCCTGCGTCAGTTCACATACCTCTGGTCATACCCGGAGCCCTGACAGGCTCTGGTGAACAAGCAGGTCGGGGTTTAGGTTCCGCTCCTTGGGGAATTCCGGCCTGCAGGGTGCTAGAGGGGCGTATTCAGTCTCTAGCCTCACCGACAGTTCCACCCGCAAACCTGGGAACTCCGCCTCCAGCCAGGGGGCCTACCGAAACCCCCACCGGAGCAATGTTTGCCATGCCTCCACCGGTACCTAGTGTACCAACAACAGAGCTGTTCAATGGGGATCGAGGGAAGTTCAGGGCCTTCCAGAACTCCTGCCAATTATACTTTGAACTACAACCGTGGACCTTTTCTTCTAAAACCGTGAATGTAGGGTTCATCATATTCCTATTACATGGTGAACCCCAAGGCTGGCCTCACCATTTGTTGGAGACTCGCCACCCTCACCTGAACTTGGTTTCTACATATTTTAAAGCAATGGCAGAACTATACGATGATCCGCAACGAGCTGCTTCGGCTGAAGCAGTTCTACATACCTTGCAGCAGGGTCGCTGGGCAGCAGAGGACTATGCCTCAGAATTCAGGTGCTGGAGCGGGGATGCCCAGTGAAATGACGCGGCTCCGCCTAGGCCTATCTGAACCACTGAAGGATGAGCTAGCCAGAGTAGGTGTACCTGGCTCCCTAGAGGGATTGATAACTCTGGCAATTCAGATTGACCGCAGGCTTCAGGAACGGAGGTCTGAAAGATCCAGTCAAGGGTTAAAACCCACATGGATGCTGCCACAGGTTCTGACCTTTCCGAACTCCCCTGCCAGTATTCGGAATCCAGAACCATCGGAGGGGGCTGAACCGTTGCAACTTGGGTTGATGCGGCCCTCCCTAACGTTCGAAGAGCACCAGAGATGCTGGGTAAACAACCTTTGCCTCTACTGTGGAGCAGCAGGCCATGTGGTACATTCCTGCACGGAGAAGTTAAGTAAGTGTTCTTCCACTGCTTCTGCTATGACTACTGCTTGTTTAGATAAACCCTCTCACTTAGCCATACCGATCTCATTTCAGCTCCCCGGAAAAACCGTGCCGGTGACAGCCATTATTGACTCAGGGGCCTGCAGTTGTTTTATTGATCTCAATTTTGCAGCTCAGCAGCAGATTCCCTTACTGACCAAGGATCACGGCCTGAACATCCTCTTGGCCGATGGGACTTAAATTAAATCTGGGTTGGTAGACCCCTCCTATATGCACTATGATGGCCAGTCATCAAGAACTCCTCTGCTTGGACACCATTGCGTCCCCACTATTCCCAGTTAATTTGGGGCTTCCTTGGCTACGTGCACACAACCCCCAAATTAACTGGAGGACTGGGTCAATTCAGTTTAATTCATCCTATTGTCAGGAGCATTGCTACCCCAGGTCACCACCAGACACCCAGACTCTGCTTTGTGTAAACGCAGACACTGAGCTAGCACAAACGGTTCCTACAGTTTACCACCACTACCTTGACGTTTTTAGTCCACGGGGAGCAGACATTCTTCCCTCGCACAGGGCGTATGACTGTCCAATTGACCTTCTCCCGGGATCTGAAATTCCCTTCGGACGAAATTTTCCCTTGCCTGAATGGGAGTTGGGAGCATTAAAAGAACATATTGATGAAAGCCTTCGAAAGGGATTTATCCATCCGTCCATGTCACCAGCAGGGGCCGGAATCTTTTTCGTGGAGAAAAAGGACAAATCCCTGAGGCCCTGTATTGACTATAGAGATCTGAACAAAATTACGGTTAAAAACCGTTATCCTCTCCCCTTAGTCCCCGAGTTATTTCAGAGGTTGAAATCAGCCTCTATTTTTACCAAGTTGGATCTCAGAGGTGCGTATAATCTGGTCCGTATACGTGAAGGGGATGAGTGGAAGACCGCTTTCTGCACTCGGTTCGGTCACTTTGAATATTTAGTCATGCCCTTCGGGGTATGTAACGCACCGGCCACTTTACGACACTTTGTAAATTACATATTTAAAGATTTCTTGGACATCTTTGTAATAGTTTACCTAGACGTTATCTTGATTTTTTCATTGTCTTTGGAGGCACATCGAGGTCACGTCAGGAGCGTGTTGGAGGCACTTCGTCAGCAGGGGCTCTACGCCAAAGCGGAAAAGTGTAGTTTCGAGCAGCACAGCATCCCATTCCTGGGGTTAATCATTTCCACCACTGGAAGTGCTATGGACCCTCAGAAGATCTCGGCCATCCTGGAATGGCCGGTACCCACAGATAAGAAAGCGGTTCAGCAATTCATCGGCTTTGCCAATTTCTACAGAAAGTTTTTTAAGAATTTCTCAGGCCTGGTATCTCCTATCACCCAACTCACGAAGATGGGAGTACACTTTCAGTGGACACCAGAGGCACAGGCAGCCTTTGAGTCTCTAAAGAAGCTGTTTACGGCAGCTCCCATCCTAAGTCACCCTGATGCGTCACTACCCTAGATGCGTCAGAAAATGCAGTGGGGGCAATCCTGTCACAAAGAAAGGGTGTAAAGGAACTGATGCATCCGGTAGCCTTCTTCTCCAGGAAGCTTACCCTGTCAGAGAGGAATTATGACATTGGAGATCAGGAGTTGTTGGCCATTAAAACAGCACTAGAGGAATGGAGATACCTATTGGAGGGAGCCTTGCATCCCATTCTGGTCTATACAGACCATAAAAATTTAGAATATCTGAGGACAGTTAAATGCCTCAGACCGCATCAAGCCAGGTGGGTGTTATTCTTTTCGAGGTTCAGCTTTCATATAATGTATCGACCAGGGTCCAAGAATACAAAACCTGACGCACTCTCGCGTATGTATTAGGACCCCAAAGAAACGCCCTAACCAGATACCATCCTGCCGGCAGGTAGTTTCCTATTACTGCAATCGGAGCTCCTGTCTAAATTATAGGCTGCGTCTATGGGCCCCCCAACTTACCTGGAGTCCCGATATAGAGTAGAGAGGGTCTCTTATGGAAAGGGGAACAGATCATGGTACCAGAAGGAGCTCGGACCTTGGTCCTGGGCTACTGCCACGACCAACCGTTGGAGGACCATTTTGGAGTACACAAGACTTTAGAGTTGGTGCAACGCACATTTTGGTGGCCAAGTATGGCCAAAGATTGCGAGGCTTACGTAAGAACCTGTGCTGTCTGCAACAGGAATAAGCCCTCCAGGAACAAAGCTTGGGGCCTGTTGCGACCTTTACCGGTGCCCGACAGATCATGGAGCATGATCTCCATGGACTTCATGGAGGAACTACGGCCGTCACAGAATCATACTGCAATTTTTGTGGTGGTGGATTGCTTTTCAAAAATGGCCCACTTCCTTCCTCTGAAAAGTACCCCGTCTGCTTCCGAGACAGCACAAGTTTTTATCAGGGAAATAGTGAGACTGCATGGTGTACCCAAAAATATAGTCTCAGATCGGGGTGTTCAATTTACTTCTAAATTCTGGAAAGCTCTATGCGAAAGTCTGGAAGTGAAACTGTCCTTTTCCTCAGCTTATCACCCGCAAACGAATGGGCAGACTGAGCGGACCAACCAAACGTTGGAACAATAT